CACGAAAGGCACCTCGCCATGGACATCAGTCACTTTTGTTAAGCATTGCTTTTGCTGCAGTGAAAAGGGCTATCGCAGAGATTGCACATAGATGATATGGGCTAAGAAGAAGTTGACAGCTACGTCTGTCTTGGACAGGAAGTAAATATGCGCCACAATCTCCAGCCGGAGATTACGCATCGAAGCGCTACTGGTTGGCGTAAATTGTACAGCATCGCTGATATCCTCAAAGTATCGAACCGGAAGGACCGTGCCCACCTCTTCAGTACTACTGTGCTGAAAGCAGCGATGTACGGATACGAAACGTGGTCAATCGCCAACGCTGAACAGCGAGCGCTAGAGGTGATGGAGAGAGCGACGAAGCGAAGGATGCGTAGCCTACCTCCCCTTGACCATATAAACAACCAGACTTTCTGCAAGATGAGTAGTGTCCAGGAGAAAGTATCACTGCAAAAACGCGAGAAAGTAAAATTCGATGGGCAGGGCATGTTGCTCGCCTTGCCGACAACTGATGGACAATGCGTATTAGAAAATGCTACCCACTGGAAAACAAGCGATTGCCGAGGCAATCCTTAAGAGGTAGCATACATACATCGAACAGGCGGTAGGTATTAACTGGCGGCATTCAGGTCAGCAGTGAACGACCTGGCATAGCTACACTCGACGTGTGAGAGCATTCCAGTAACATAACTAATAGAGATATCAACACTGAAAGTCCAAGTACACATTCTTGGCGGTACAAACATTCAGAAAGTCTGTGCGTAACTTATGATATCAGACAGGAATAAAAGTACAAAGAAAGTGAACTGAAGCAGCACACTGATACTGCATTTACAGGACGCCTTTCTCTTTGAGTTTAGCAACAAGCGCCGGCACATCCTCCACAAATCCGCCTGCTTTCCGAACCGGTGGCTCTGTTACCTGAAAATCTATTTTGAATAAAATGAAAATGTCAAATTTTCTAATAGCAAAATTAGTATATTCGAAGCACATCTCTCAAAATTTTGGGCACTGCAAAAACTGCCAGCAACTAGGGCCAGGTTTCCACTGGTGAAAGTTGAGAAATGAATGAAAAACAAAGATGACCAAAGGCGGAAAAAGAGTACAGCATAGCTATGATTCTACAGATTCGGTCAACTTATAGAGGAGGTTCATTTCAGCTACCCTGCCAGCTTCTTGAGATGTTTTCTAGTTTTTCCGAAGACAAAAACTTTTGAAATTAACGTTATGCAAACCAAAAATACAAAATATGGCCAGATGAACAGGACGAAGAAACTGGAGCAATGAAATGCTTTTCCAGAGAAAGCGCTAACTGATGGTACAGCAGCCATACAAAGTATCAGAATGAAAATAAAGAAAACCGCTTAAAACGAAAATGCTTGAAATATTCAAGCATTCAGGTGGAACGATGCTCTGTTTGCTCTCTCTCTGTCTGATTTCTTTTTCTTTCGCATATCTATCTTGCAAATTAGTCACATGACTGTTCAGAACATGGCGGCTACAAGGCTGTACCGATGATTCCCACTCCTACCCGCATGTATTGCTCAGTCTATGTTTACAGCTAAGGGATGAAACACAGACTAACTACATCGTAAAATGTTTTCCGGTACATGACACTTAATATCAATCCTTCTATTCTACTTTTTCAATCGTAAAGGTGTTCACGTAAGTGTCGCTGTACCTGTACAGTGACTTGAAACGATCGAATGCTTCACGCAGCCTTTTTTTAGTTTCTACTAGATTATTAACGACGCTTAAGGGGCTTATGACCTGTCACCAAAAATAAACCATTATATTATCTCAACGATTAAATAGGTAGAAAACATCAAAACCGGCAAAATTATAAAAAAAACCTCAAGAATTTGGGTTTGCTGTGTAATTTCAACGCCATAATCAGATGGTTTCTTCTTTTCCAGTGGTTTCTTTTTGGCTTTCATGATGTTCGGTAATGTGGCATATCTTGGTTCGTTCAATCTCAGATCAGCACTTATTACTGCTGGTGTCTTGATTCGTATCGATTCCTGGCCAACATCTACTTCTCTGAAACGAACATGTTATATTTGTTACAGCAATTTT